AAAAAACAAAAACAAACAAACAAACAAAAAAACAACAAAAATAAATGAAAAAATAAAGCACTTGCTATGTGCTAATAACTTTTTTATTTTTTTAAAGAATTATTTTTATTTAACTTTATTTATTGATTTATTTATTTGACCAGAGTGGGACAGAGTGAGAGAGAGAAAGGGAAAGTGAGAAAGCAAGCCTCCAGGTCTGGGACTCAAACCATGGTTAGTCCAGCCCCCTTAACCACCAAGCCACCCGCCGGCCCCATAACTTTTTTATTTTTTAAGAGAGAGATTTTTGTTATAGGCCAGGTGCTTACCAGAGAGACATAAAGACAAAAAAAAGTGAGATATCACCTCCCAGCGGAGACAGCTATGCCACAGTCCCTTCTCCTCCATGCTCTCGAGATTTGGGGCACACACGCACACGCACCCAGTGTGAGTTTTAAGCTGCCCGGTCCAGGACTCAAACCTCAATCGAGTACGTGGGAGTCTAGCAATCTAACCATTATGCCATCTGCTAGTTCCCTAGGAACTTTTCATTCATTCGTTATTGATTGTACAATGTCTTACTGAATCCAGATCATTCCTTTCGGCATCAGTAAACCATTGCTCTCATTTTAGAGCTGACAAATTGGAAGCCTGCCCTGTGCTGTGCTCTTAAGGCCTGCCATTCATCCGCTCGCCTCATACTGGCCCTTGAACATCTCGTGCCACCCAGCAGCCACCAGACTAGACACACTCGTGCCTCTCCATTCCACAAACGAGCACACACAGAGTCCTCTGGGACAAAGGCCAGCCGCACGAGGGGAGGGATTTGGGGGTCTCTGCCCGGGGGGTGGGCCCAGCACCCAGAGCAGCGCTTGCGTAGAGCAGGTGCCCTCAGACATGTGGCACGGGGATGAATGAGTGCGTGACTGTGGGATGGGAGCCGCACAGTCGGTGGGAGGCAGGTTCTCTCAGCCCGTTCCCCCCGCCCTCCTCCTCTACCTCAATCCCAGAGGCCAGGGCCAGTGCCCCAGTGCCTAGCCTGGCTCTTCCCCATTCCCTGGAGGTGCCACCTGACTTTCCCCTCACCCCCCAGGGTCGCTGCACTTGGGTGAACCCTTTGCAGAAGACGGAGGAAGAGGAGGATCTGGGGGAAGAGGAAGAGAAGGCGGACGAGGGGTTGGAGGAGGTGGAGCAGGAGGTTGGGCCCCCGCTGCTGACCCCACTCTCAGAAGATGCAGGTAAGGGCCTTCCTCTTCTGGCACATGCCAGCGGGGGCAGGGAGGCAGGGAGGGATGGCAAAGGTCTTCTCTCTGCCCCCCTCTGCAAGCCGTGGTTGCCATTTTTTTTTTTTTTTTGAGAGATTTTCACTGTAGGGCGCGTGCGCTCGCCAGACAGACAGAGAGAGACATAGAGACAGAAAGCGAGAAATCACCCCCCAGAGGGGATGGTCACGCCGCAATCCCTTCTCCTCCATTCTCCTCTCGGGATCTTGGGCACGCACGCACACGCGCCCGGCGTGAGTTTTAAGCCACCGGGCCCAGGACACGAACCGCGGTCGACTACGTGGGAGTCCAGCGACATAGCCATTACGCTAACTGCTGGTTCCCGCCATTTTTGAAATGGGCATCACACCTGTGCCTCCCTCAAGGCCTATGGCATGGCCCCTGCTGTGACCCATGTCTGGTCCATGGCCATGATTCAGAGAATCCCACGTGGGCTTGGGACCAGGGGAATGGAGTTAGGGAGTGCGCCCCAAACAGGCGGGGCCGAAGCTCCCTTTGGGGTGGGTGGACAGGCATTGCCAGAGGCTGGGGCCTCAGGTACTTGGGGAAAAGAGAAGGGAGAGCCTGGGGGGGCAGGTGGGGCGGCAAATGCATGGAGCCCAGACCTGAATCTGGTTCCAGAGAGCCTGCAGCCTGTGCCTGCCCCTGCGGCCTGCCTGGGGGTACGGTCACAACAGCACCCCCATTTGGGGGTCCCCAGGGTGCCCAGGACTACAGCAGCCATGTGAGAGGACTATCCCCACTTTCTGGGTGTGGTCGCTGGGGCTCAGAAGTGAAAGCCATTACCTGGTGGAGTTCCCTTCACCCCACCCCTGCAGCCCTCCTGCTACTTCCCTTCCTTCCCTCCACCTCCCGCCAGGCGGCTGTGCAGAGCACAGGGACCCTCTGCCTTTGCTGCCCTCTCTGCTCCTCTCACGCCCCACAGAGATCATGCACATGTCACCCTGCCCCGCCCGCCTGTCCTGCGCCCTCTGCCCGCAGTACTCCGTGGCCATCGTGCGCTCCAACCTCTGGCCGGGCGCCTACACCTTCGCCACTGGCAAGTAGGTCTTTCCCAGGCCCTCCCAGCGCCAGGGTCTCCCAGGACTTCCGCAGAGCTGGGCAGCAGGGCAGGGATTGGGAGGACCCTCTTTTTTTGTTTGTTTGTTTGTTTTGGAGAGGTTTTCGCTCCCAGAAGGTCGGCAAGGCAAAATCACCCCACATCCTCCCGCCCCAGCTGCACACTCCCCACAGACCCCTCAGCCCCCTCCCCTCACCAGGCACCCGCGCAGCCGCCAAAGCAGGTCTGGAGCCAGGAGGCGGCGCGCTTACCAGCCCTGTCCACTAGGTGGCATGACGAGGCCCACGGATTTTCCTTTTCCAGCTCCACGTAAACCTGTACTGTAATCGCTCCCATATGACTGCGTCATGGAGGGATTCCATGTCATCTTGCTACTTTAATCACATCCTTGGCGATGTCTTCCTTCTCCAGAAGCTGCGAGGAGGCAGACTTGCTATTATTGCTAACCCCTTTCATACCACACCCTAATTTCCCAACATTCTTCTGAAAGCCAGAGATCCAAACTTGGAAGTCTTTGCACCCCCATCCTCCGCCCCTTACCTACCCATCTATCCACTTACCCACCCCTCCATCCATACATTCATGCATCTATTTTTTTTTTTTTTTAAACCACAGGGCGTTTGCGCTTGCCAGAGAGACAGACAAGCTGGGGAAAGTGAGAAATCACCCCCCAGGGGGGATGACCACGCTGCCATGCCTTCTCCTCCATTCTCCTCTGGGGATTGGGGGCACACACGCACATGTGCCCGGCGTGATTCTCAAGCCTCCTGTGGAAGACTCAGACCATGCAGTCGACCGTGTGGGATCCAGCCGCCTTAACCTTCAAGCCATCTGCTGGCCTAATGTTTTTTCTTTATATACGATTCTTGGATGCCACTATTTGCCAGCTGTGTGCTGGGCCACGGGTCCTTTGTTGAAAAGGCAGATATGAATCCCGAACCTGGGAGCAGGCAGAGGAAGCGTACGCACTGACGGAATGCTCCCCCTGCCGCACAGCACTGCCATATCCGGCCAGAACATACCTCCAGGAGAGGGGAGTGACGCTACAGCTTGAGGGGATTGCAGGATCCTGGCAAAAGCAGCCTTTCATAGAAAATCTTCAGGGAAAGAATAAGGTTAATGAGGAAGAGCACTCATTCTTTTTTTTTTTTTTTAAAAGAGATTTTTGTTATAGGGCACCTGTACTCACCAGAGAGACAGAGAGAGGAAAGTGAGAAATCACCCTGTGTGTGGGGGGGAGGTATGGATACGCCCACAACCTCTTCCCTTCATTCTCCTCTTTGGATTTTGGGCACACACGCACACGCACCTGGCATGAGTTTTAAGCTTCCAAGTCTGGGACTAGAACCATGGCCGACTCTGTGGGAGTCCAGTGATGTATCTGTCACACCATGTGCTGCTCCCTCAAAAAGAACATTCTCAACCAAGACCCTCAAACCGAGTGTGCAGGACTCAGCAGGGGTTAGTCAAGATGCGGTGCTGGAGCTGGATCTCACGTGGCTAAGTGTTTCAAATCTCGGCTCCGGCAGCTTGAAGAACATGCCAGGCACGTAGCTGTGTGTGCCCAGAATCCCACCGGGATGGAGAGATGGAGAAGGGATGACCCCAACTCCTTGGGGGTGCATTTTCCCTCTCCCTCCCTGTTTCTCTGTCTCTCTCTGGTGAGAGCGTGCACCCTCTGGCAAATTAAAAAAAAAAAAAAAAGTTGCAGATGCTGGTCCTCCGAGTCTGGGACAGATCCCGAGATTCCACTTCCTCCCAAGCTCCCAGGTGATTGGGGGCCCCCCAGCCCGGACAGGCAGGGGAGGGGAGGCTGCAGTATTCTGCAGTATTCGTGTATCTGAGGCTCTGAGGAAGGTTGAGAGGAAAACCCTTAGTAACAGCAAGGATGTGAAAAGAAGGTCACAACAAAATGCTCCTCCATGGAGAACCCTGTGTCCCTCGTCCCTGGCCTCTCTCTCTCTCTCTTTCTCTCAGTTCTCTGCCTTTCCTTGTCTTTCACTCACTCCACTTTTCTCCCACATACTTCTCTAGTCAAAATTCTGAAGAGAGGTTGGAGCGTCAGGTTAGGACCCAGCCAGCTATTGCCTTGTTCACTATGGACGTTCTCTCCTCAAGAACATAGGCCCTGCAGCAGGCATGTCTGCCTACCCGGTCTCCTGCTCTGCCTCCAGCACCTAGGCCATCTTATTTATGTCCCACAGAAATAAAAGGCGAGGCCCTGGACCAGCAGGTGGTAGACTCCCATATCACCAACTATGGTTTGAGTCCTGGATCTGGCACAGCATGAGTTTAAGCCCCAGGTCTGGGATCTGAACCATGGTCAACTACCTGGGAGGCCAGCAAGGTAACCATTACACTATCTTTTTAAATTTTTCTTTAAGGTTTTTGCCATAGAGCATGTGAGCTTGCCAGAGAGAGACAGTAAGAGGGAAAGTGAGAAATCACTCCCTGGTGAGGATGGCCACGTCGTCATCCCTGCTCTTCCATTCTCCTCCTGGGATTTTGGGTACACATGCACAGTGCTAGGATGATTTTCAAGCTGCCATGTCCAGGGCTCGAGTCACGGCTGGCCACATGTGAGTCCAGCTCCTTAACCACCACGCCATGCTGTGCATTTTTCAAGCCTCCAGATCCAAGACTGGAACCACTTAGTCTTCCATGTGGAATCCAGCACCTTAACCTCCATGCCATTTGGTGGCTCTTTCTTTTCTCTGCTTTTTGTTTTTGTTGCTAGAGGGTGAGTGCACTCGCCAGAGAGACAGAGAAAAAGAGACCGAGAGAACATCCACGGGGGCACGGTCACACTGCAATCCCTTCTCCATTTATTCGGGACTTGGGACACACCCGGCATGTCTTTCCAACAGCCAGGGCCGGGATTTGAACTACTCAATTGGCCATGTGGGATCTAGCTCTCTTAACTATAAGGCCATAGGGTTGACCCATCTCTGTTTGTCTTTTAGGTGATGCAGGTGTCCTCCGGCAAATTTTTAATTAAATTTAAATTTTTTTTGCTAAGTAGCCACACTTGCTGTTGGGCAGCATGTCTGCAGACACAGCCTGGCACAGAGTAGGTGCTCGCTAAGTATGGGCTGAGTGGGCAGAGAAACCCAGGGGCACAGCGCACCCTGCCACCCATACCCGCGACTGCGGTTCTGTGACCACACGAGGTCCACCCTTAGTGAAGGTCCAGGATGACAGCTTTGTGAAGAGTTTCACACTGTCTCATCGCCCCTCCAGAAAGTACGAGAACATCTATATCGGCTGGGGCCATAAGTACAGCGCCGAGAACTTCAACCCGGCCCTGCCAGCCCCCGTTCAGCAG